CTAGATAATAACTGATTGAAAAAAAAAGTTCCCTGAATTGCTCAGCGAACTAAAAGGTAAAAAAAAAAGAAAAGAAAGGAAAATATTTTGGTTAACATTACCCTTATCACCCAAGAGACCCCCCTCATTTGCCCTGGGGTCATATGAGATTGTATACCTTCCTCTTAATGATTCCTGAAAATCTGTGAGCCAGAGTAGATCTGAGAAGCTGTGGGAACGAGAACCACTTGCCTTTCCTACAGCAGGTGGCTTTAATGAGCAGCTCTCCCGAGTTTTCTGTTCCCACATCGGTAGCCACTTGCCTTTCCTACAGCAGGTGGCTTTTGAGCCACATGGCATTGGAATCAACCTGCTGAGAACTCCTTCCTGAACGAGACTCCCTGTAACAAATCTGCACTTTTTTTGTCTCCTATCATGTGACCAAAGTACTCTAGATTTCTGCATTTTATGCTTTGCATGATTTCTTGGTCTTCTTTGATTTGACTTTGTACCTCAACCTAAGAAATCCATCCAGATAATTTCAGGACTCGCGTCTCCCACTGCTCTCTTTCCATTCCATCCTGGTTTGGAACATGTACTTGTGTGTGTATTTGTGGAAGGTGTGAGTTCTCAGGTTCTTCGGTCTTGCACATATTTTCCTCCATGGACAAATAAACATAGACCTTAGAGAGGACACCACAGGGCTGAAAGAATTAAATCATCTTCTCCCCAAGTGACTGTGCATGCAGACGTCTCTGAAATAAGACTGCCCATCTTTGGGTTTCTGTGCCATTTAGGACCTAAGATGATTAAAAAGAACCCTGCTGTATCATAGCAGACCTACCTACCTAGCATTCTGTTCCTACAGCAACCAACAGAAATCCAGAAAATGAAGACGAGGGCCAATTTTTGCATCTCAGTGGCTACGACTCAAAGGCCCAATCCTGCTTCTGCACCAGGAGGTTGTACCCCATACGACCATTATGCCTTGCAGCCACAGACAGACTACATCTCTTGTTAATTGGCCTAATTCTTTCTAAAGCTATCTAAACCAGTGAATGGCACTGCATCGTGCAGCAGTGAATGCTTTAGCCCAACCGTGGCCACAATCCTATTAGTGTGTGCCTAAGATGGGTGTAATTTGCCATAGCTAATGTTGCTAATTGACAAGGGGGCAGAGCACATCTCAGTTGTGCAACTGGGCACGAGACCAGGCAATCCAACAGGGTGCTGGCTTATGTTTTCTGACAATCAGCTTCTAACATCACGAGTAAATCTCTCTGTTAACTGGACAGAAAATGGAAAACGAAATAGTTCCAAAAATTATAAATTATGCAATATTCTGCCTATAATGATAAACAAAAAAAGCCATCCCTCCATACACAATCGCACTGGATAGCATGTTAATGACAATTAATGTTAATGACATGTTAAGGACAATTCTACTGTGTGTCCCGAATGGCAGAAAGTTTACAAAAGACAAAAACAAAAACCAAACAATCAAATTTGTTCTTCCAATTACTGAGGTTAGGACTACAGAACTGATGACATTTCAGCCCAATTCCAAGCAAGCTGAAGGATAAGTGTCAAGGAAAATACTTTTCTTCTGCCTTCAGCTCCTGCCACACAGAATTGGCAGCCGCACAGAGAAGTCAGGATAATGAGTAAAGAAGGACATTCGTAGTTAGAGGGTAGAGAGAAGGCAGTTGGTAATGACAGCAGAGAAGAAAACAGGAGCCGTTGGTTGTTTCTGACAACAGCCGTAAGGAGCTCAGGCATCAACCTCAAAAGAGCTCAAAAGAGATTCTACTATCATCTCTGTGGGGAATAAGCTTCCTTTGCCTGTGCATGGCCAAGTGGAATGAATCTGCCCAAATTAACCGAGGTGATCAAATTATCAGAAAAAGAGATACTGGGAAGTTGCAAGGTGAAGATGATGAGCAGGCCCAAATTATATGTTCCAGATAGCTTACCATTCAGTTCTGGACAGTGCACTTCAAGAAGGATGCTGACAAATTGGAGCAAGTTCAGAGGAGGGCGACAAGGATGACCAGGGGACTGGAAACCAAGCCTTATGAGGAAAGACTGAAAGAATTGGGCAGGTTTAGCCTTGATACAAAAAGACTGAGCTACTTCTCCCCCTCTATCCAGTACTGATTATTCTTGATCTAGAGAACTGGGTCCAGTTCTGGACACCGCTCTTGAAGAAGGATGCCAACGAAGTGGAGCAAGTTCAGAGGAGGGCAACATGGATGATCAGGGGACTGGAGACCAAGCCCTAGGAGGAAAGATGGAACCAACTGGGCATGTTTAGCCTTAAGAAAAGAGGACCAAGGGGAGATATGATAGCACTTTTCAAATGCTTGAAACTGGAGTCATACAAAGGAAGGGCAGGATCTCTTCTTGTTCATCGCAGAGTTCAGGACACGTAATAATGGGCTGAAGTTACAGGAAGGCACATTTTATGGAAAATAGTGAGTGGGTTAGATACAGAGAGAATATGTATCAAGAAACACCTTTGGTAAAAAGAGAAAAACATCTGGGACTCAGTCCAGTTGCTAGTCCCAGCTAAAGTAGACCCATTGAATCAATGAGATTTACATCAGAATTGACTCACAAGTTAGTGGTTGATTCAATGAGTCTGCTCTACTTCGGACTTGCTCTTGGATTTAAACTCTGGGAGAAATGAACACTACCAGCTTGGGAGGTCTTATGTCTTACTTCATAGAAGGCAACCACTTATTTAAAATGACCTATCCGGTCCAGGTATAGTTGAAAAAGGCAAAAAAGGGTACTTGATGACTTCCATCACCATGAGCAGGAGACTGAACAGGCTTATGAGTTACCTGGACAGTTTCCCCACCATGACAGGATACGCTGTGTTTCTATTTAAAATTCAACTATCTTTCAGTTTGCTTCTACACAAACTGAGATCCAAAATAATTCTGACATTTCGATAGCTAGACCTTGCAGCCCATTTCCAGCCAGACAGTTTTTATGATTCTACAAAATCGGGGTGCGCAGATTCAATACAATTCTTGAGTTCTCACTTCTGGCAAAATGTAAATGCAGAAAGAAACTCAATATCCATCCCTTTGTTTGTGTGTGTGTGCGTCCGTGCGTCCGTGTGCGTGCGTCCGTGCGTGCATTCATGCATCTCTCTCTCTCTCTCTGTTTGTATGTGTGTGTGTGTGTGTGTGTGTGTGTGTGTGTGTGTGTGTGTGTGTGCGTGGCCTGCCTGTTTTCTGACTGTGTTTGTTTTAGCATGGACTTCATCCTAACAACCTTTGAACTTTCTCCTTCTTCACCATGTGACCCAAACATTCAAAGATATTATAATGATGTTGCAATCATCTTTAGCCATGGGATGCCATTATTCAGAACAAACAAATACAAGACACTGCTCTTGGCATGAAAGGGGGGGGAAGAGGAAAGAAGAATAAATGCCTGTTGCAGAGATTTCCACATAGACAAGCCCAGTCTTCCTGCACAGCATGGCTAGTTTCATTGGCCCGGTTGCCACAGCAACAGAAATGCATCCCCTCCCATTCCCCTGACCTTTGCCCTCTGCACAATGGCCAGACAGTCCCCCCTCCTTCCATAATGCCCCTCTGCCAGACTGCCAAAATGGAGCTTTCGGGAGGGCTAAAAAGCGACTCAACAAAACATTCCTGTTTCAGCTCATCCATAATTCTCAGGCCATTTCCTTGGCCTGTTTCCCACTTCTATTAGGCCTTCTGCATATTTGATGGAGGGAAACCAAAGTTCCAGAGAATTGGCTTTTTAAAAAAAAATAAATAAATCCTGCTCTGGATGATGTTTGGCGAGTCGCTTTCTCGGTCTGTAGTACGTGGCAGTTTTATTATACCACTAAAGGACAACTGGTAGGGCCAAGGCCGCTCAAGAAGTTTCCTGCTCAAACCTCATCTCAGAAATGTACTAAGCAGAGATGGGCACAAACTGGTTCGTCTCAGTTCGCACAGGTATTGTTGCTCCCCTCCCCTGCCTCCTCAGCCAATCCAGCCCCTCACCAGGTCCAGCTTGCTTTCTTTCTCCCCCTCCTCAGCTAATCTCCCAGTCAGGAGCAAAAGCAGAGACTTCTCTGCCCTGCCCTTTTCTCTGATTGGGAGATCAGCCAAGAGGGCGGGGCAAAGAAGCCTGAGCTGCTGCCGGGACTGGGAGATCAGCTGAGGAAGTGCAGGAAGCCACCATGCTGGGCCTGATGAGTGGCTGATGGAGCCCGAGGAGGAGGAGGGAAAGGGGAGCAGTAGCACCTGTGTTGCTGCCTTTATGAACTGGGATGAACTGGTTTTGTGCCCGTCTCTATTACTAAGCAGCCTAAGGCGTTCTTTCTCATTTGTTACACATTTGTTCTTGGTAAGAAAGCCAGAAACCGCCAGTAATTCCCCGATGGATAAGAAACCCCAATTTGTTTTTGCAAAGTGCGAGGAATAGCCTTAAGAGATCAAGGACAAGAAATAATAAGTTTTCCTGAGTCGGATATAGGAGTGTCAGTATTCAAGGTTCCATTCCCCTCCCTGATCTAATTACTTCTGCCTTACTCAGCACCCTTACTGACTCCATCATGTCCACAAAGAAGCAGTCCCAATCCTCTTGGGAAAACCCAATTCTGTTATCACACTAATAACGTTAAATATTCATAAGACCTTATCTGGTTCCTACAAGAAGCCTTAACCTTTTATTATGGTTGCACGGTCCAAACCCCCACCATCACCACCCCGTATTAACATATGAGAGAAATTCAAAACTGCCAACCCTTTATTATGGTTGCACGGCCCAAACCTCTCCCCCTCCCTTATTAACATATGAGAGAAATTCAAAACTGCATATTAGGAATATCTATATGGTGTATGAAGAATCCCTCACGAGCATCCCTTCGTTCATTATATCCATCTTTAGGAGCAATTAAAGATCTGCCACAATCTTAGATGTAGATATAACCCTTCAAAAAGGACAGGAACCCACCCCACTCTGATCCCACAGTGTTCCTGTAGTCCTACCTTTACTTTGGGGAGGGTTCTGACTCCGATCTCGAAGAACGTTGATCTGGTAGACCGCTCCGTAAGGCTCAAAAAGTTCCTTTAGCTCTTTTTCTGACCACAAACGGGGGATCTGTCCGACGAACATCTTAATGGCATCCGGGTCTGGTTGGTCTGAGTGATCCAAAGCTCCATTCATCTTGTTAGCTGTGCCGTTACTAGAGGGGCGAAAAAGGAGAGTCTCGTCAGAGGGAGCATCGCTGGAATAATGCCATCGCTAACCAGCTAAGAAGGAAAGGAAAGCCACAAGGCAAGCGAAGGGTATTGTGAGCACAAGCCGGGCTCTGCCCGAGTGATTAAGTGCTACCGTCAACAAAATTCCATGCTAATGCCATGGCCAAATAACAATGAAGAACTGTCCTTACATTATTCCTCAAATGCCATTCTTGGTGAGCTCCTGCTTCCATCCATCAAGTCACAAAACAGCGCTTGTGGATCTTGGAAGAAAATATCATTTCAAGAAGAACGTGGGCTCCTTTACAATGCCCCTGTTTTCTGCAACTGGGAGCCGGAGTGCATGGAACCCCTGCTCCCAACCCACTGGATTTCCTCCCTTCCCGCCCTCTATAGGCAGTGTGTTTTGATTTGCAATTGAGAAAGTCATGCGAAAGGAATAACAAAGCACTTGGTGTGACACTTGTTAGGTAATTCAAGAGGCTGGAGATGAGCTTGCCCGATGTCAAGAGGGAGTCAAGCATCTTCAGGGAGTGGAAAATGCTCAAAAGGTGCAGCTCAAAGGCCAAACCCAAATACTGTCGCTCCCCATCCCAACCTTTAAACTACCTTGCTGCCCCCTTCAATCACACATTCCTGCTTTTCTGCTCCTTGCTAAAGTGTTCTTGCCAGAAGCAGGAGGTCTGGCAGATTTGGCTCTCTGGCCCACAACACAGCTACTTTGGAATCCTTATGCATCCCAGTTAAGGTGGCCACAACAGAAGGCACGCCACCTTAAAATAAAAATTAAAAAGGTGGCCAAAAATTTAACACAGATTAATATGGAATTTGTGCATGCCAGTTTGCATTTAGGGAAAAAAAAGGTAATCCAACTTAAATAGCAGGGAAAACTTTGACCACACTCCCTGGGGACACGATCACGTCAAACCAGCACATGGAACATGTAGTCAACGTCAAGGGCCCTGCCTGCTCTCCTTCCTTCAGCGCCTTCATTCCTAAACTGGATTTGGATGGATTAGCCCTTCAGTCAGAAGACAACCATTTGTAAAATAGACCATTGTAGCAGCAAATTGCAGTAGGACTGCCGTATCCACGGAACCAGTAACCACGGATTTACTTACCTGATGCCTGAAAATACAAAATAAAACCCCTCCGAAATAACATATTTATATGTATTTCCAGGGCATATTGATCAGAACTGCCCACTGGAAGAAGCCAGAGATCATGCAAAGTATAGCATTCAATACTTTCATGTTTTTCAGCATCCATGGGGGGTGGGGGTGGGAGGGCGGCTTGCAACTGATCCCCCGTGTCTTACTGTACATGCTTCATTGACATATTGTTTTATATAAAGAATGGCCCAGATCCTTTTCTCTGGTTCTGCTGGTGCAACACAAACAGGCCGGATTGTTAGAAGCAAACTGCCCCAAGTTAAAAAGCTGACCGTTGGGATTCCATTCAATGGGAGACATTTGTTGAAATGGTTGATGCCACAAATTTTTTCAAAACAAACCCCACCCACCCGTTTTCCCTTAAAAAAACAAAGTTCACAGACTCCACAAGTCTTACTGTGGAGTAAGATGGGGACACTCCCAAGAACACAAGCCCATTTGCAATCAAAGCATGTAAGGAGCGCACACCTTGTCTTAAAACAAGACTGCACCCCGTTCTGGCTGCAGCAGAGTTGGTGGTAGGGGCAGTAACCATGGCAGGGGTGTTGGCGCAACAAAACGAGGTTGCGTTTTGGCTGAACTCAACCTCGATTTAAGCTTATGTAGCCCACCTGCAAAGTCCGAGGGGCTTAACTGGACGGCTGGTGATGTGCAGGCTGGGAGGTCAGTTACAGAGACAGGATTGACTGCTTTAAGTTCTTAGATTGTCCCCATAGTATCTTGACCATTCAAGGTTTAAAACCCTCTGGACAAAAAGGTTATTGGATTTTACTTACAAAAGAGAAGCAAATTCTATATTGGATGAGGGAGACCACGAGTGCATTCTTTGCCCCCGGGCCACAAACTTGTAGCAAAAATATTTAGGCATCTCTGCTTGATGTCTTCTGAAGCATAAGCACACCTGAGCACATTAATATGCCTCGATTAACTTTTTTTTTTTGCAGTTTTTCTCTCAGTTGCTGGAGGGAGGGGAGGTGACATGAAAGGCACTCTTGAAAAGCGATGATGAAAAGTTTGATCTCCGGTTCTGTGATATGCCTAACCTTGGCTCGTTTTGACATTCGGATACATTTCAATTACCCAGTGCCTCCTGTCTTTTTCTACTGGGTTCCTTAGAATAGATTATAACGGAGAGAGAGAGAAAAAGAGAGGGAGAGGGAGAGGATAGAAAAAGGAAGATGAGGGACGTGGTGGCGCTGCGGGCTAAACCGCAGAAGCCTGTGCTGCAGGGTCAGAAGACCAAGCAGTCGTAAGATCGAATCCACGCAACGGAGTGAGCGCCGGTCGCTTGTCCCAGCTCCTGCCAACCTAGTGGTTCAAAAGCATGCAAATGCAAGTAGATCAATAGGGACCACCTTGGAGGGAAGGTAACAGCGTTCCATGTCTAAGTCGCACTGACCATGTGACCACGGAAGATTGTCTTCGGACAAAACGCTGGCTCTATGACTTGGAAACGGGGATGAGCACCGCCCCCTAGAGTCAGACATGACTGGACAAAAATTGTCAAGGGGAACCTTTACCTTTACCCCTTTACCTCATCTCTTGATGTAAAATAATGCTTCCCAATCTTGGGTCCCCAGGAATTCTTGGACTACAACTCCCAGAAGGCTTCTCCACTAGATGGAGTGCATTGCAGTCCAAGAACATCTGGCGATCCAAGGCTGGGAAGCCATAAAACTGGATCCCGGGTCTCAACAAGCAAGCTACTTTAAGTGAAACTGCCCCCCCTCACCCTTGCCTTGGAAGCAGGCAGAAACAGTCCTGAGTCTTGGGTCCCCAGGAATTCTTGGACTAGAACTCCCAGAAGGCTTCTCCACTAGATGGAGTGCATTGCAGTCCAAGAACATCTGGCGATCCAAGGCTGGGAAGCCATAAAACTGGATCCCGGGTCTCAACAAGCAAGCTACTTTAAGTGAAACTGCCCCCCCTCACCCTTGCCTTGGAAGCAGGCAGAAACAGTCCTGATCCTTTTTTGCAGATCAGTAACAACCATCACTACCACCTTTGAACTGGAGAGCTTGAAGGGACCATATGGATCATTGAGCCAGGTCCCCTCAAAGAGGCACAGTAGGGAACTGAACTCCCAACCTCTATCTCCCGTGTCAGCGACCTTATCCAGCAGTTTGAATACGGCCACTCTTCTTTAATTCCATTTTTTAGTTCTGGTTCTACTGCTAGAGAAGACATCCCTATCACACAAATAAAACTTTGTACTTCAGTTGAGATTCCATCTCCTCCAACCACCAGGTATGACCTCCAATTTGCTATTAATATATATCTATTTTAACCTAATGGTGAAAATCATCTTGCTTAATGTAGTCAGTCACACTAGAGGAGGCCTATTTAATCAATAAGGATTTGGTGATTCAACTCCTCTGTCAGGTCCGTTGATTCAAATTGGTCTATTCTAGCTGTGACTTATTGTGCTTAAGTAAGTCCAAGTTAGAGTAGGCCCATTTGAATCAATGGAACTTATCCATCTCTCATACCAGTATTATGAGATGAACAACATTTGAAGAGGGGTAGGGGAAGAGGTGACAACTCTAATTCAGGATTCGGGATTTAATTCATGGATGTTCAACCTCGGGTCTATAAGAGTTCAATCTGCAAAACCCTGGGCCTGAATGGATACACCTATCAATATATCTTCTTCTAATATTTTTATGTCTTTTTTAAAGTCTCAAGTTCTTTCCATCCTGAATACGAATTCCAGATTTTGATAAATTCGTATGAAAACTAAATGGAACTTCTTGCTCATTATTACCATAGTCTAATCTGTACATCTGACAACGTCAGGACATTGTCTTTTGGATTTAGACAAAATCCAAAAGAGGGTTTTGACAGTAGAGTGGGAAATGGCATGCCTCATAGGATAGGGAGATTCTAGCAAATATTTGTTGGTGGGGTGGGGGCATACACAAAGCTTTTTCACAGATCCAACCCACCTGGTGATTCAACTCCGTGTGCAAAAATGAACTGGACTGGCAGCTAAATCTTAGTTCAACGGTGGTGACAGGACTGCATCTCTTGATCAGCAGTTTGGCTTAGAGTGTACAGGAATGGCCATGTTGTACACAGCTCTGTCCTCCAACACAGGGAGTGTAGATGGGGGACTCCTTAGGAATTCCTTGATGGGCTACCCCCCACTGTTTTTCCCTCATAAATGAGCTGGGCATGTGTAGCCTTGAGAAAATAAGACATAGGGGAGATAGGATATCTATTTTTTTAAATATTTGTAAGGTAGACCTACGGAGAAGGGGCAGGATCTGTTTTTTGTCATCCCAGACTGCAGGAAACGTAATACAGTGGGGTCTTGACTTGAGAACTTAATCCGTATTGGAAGGCGGTTCTCAAGTCAAAAAGTTCACAGGTCAAATCTGCATTTCCCATAGGAATGCATTGAAAACCATTTGATCCGTATCTGCTCTTTTCCGTCCATAGAAACTAATGGCAAGCTGCTATTCCGCCTTCGACCACTAGAGGGGGATATTTTATTTCTTTTTTTTCTTAGGTCAAGAAAGGTTCAGGGAAGGCAGGGAAAATACAGTCCAGGCAGTACCAGGCAGTCCGAAGACTGTCTCCCAATCCACTCTCTAAACGCTGGGAGGAGTGAGGAAGCTCATTCATTCATTCATTCATTCATTCATTCATTCATACATTCATTCATTCATTTATTTATTTATTTATTTATTTATTATCTCAAGAAGTGTTGAGGACTCCAACACTGGAGGCATTCAAGAGAAAATGGGACAACTACCTGTCACACCTGCTTTGATTGGGATTTCTGCACTGAACAGGACTTAAGACTTCTA